CCATAGGTATATATTTATGTCTTTTATGAATTTTGAGGGTAAAATTCTTAAAAGGAGGGGAGAACTGTAACATCCTGAATTCTTAATCCTAAGTTTAAAGGATAATCAAGGGTGAAGTAAATTAAAGTGGGATTAGAGATTTGGATGAATAATTGGTATTTTGACTTGTTTGTGTATTGTATGAACAGATATGGGTGATATGAGTACGTTTCAGGTCAAAGCAAGTACGCGTGGTGAGAATAAATCTCACTGTGCCACACGCTGTAGCTTGTGCTGCATGCGTCGCGGTGCATGGACCAGAATTTGCCTTCATAAGTCGTGAAATTTCAAAAATTTCAGAGGAGAGAATTTGAGAAATGCACGAAACAGAGAGAGGAGAAGAGCTGAGAAGCTAGGTTAAGTCATTTTGGAACGGTGGAAGGCGATTCGAATCAATAACTTACCAGGTAAGCTACGTATAACTCTTACCTTCCATTCTACAGAAATTTCTCTGAAATGAAAATTGAATCGGTAGAATTTGAGGGGTTTAATTCTTGCCCAACAGTAATAAAAAGATTCTCGAAAGTTAAATTAGAGCTTTGTGACTAGTTTAGAGCTGAACGTTAGAGCTTTGAACCTACAGGCTCAATTTTAGCCTTAGAAAGAGGAAGTTAGGGCAAAAATCTATCTTGAGTGAAATAAGACTGATCGAGGTGATGTAAAGTAGTAATTGGATAGTTATGGACTTAGAATAGATAAATGGAAAAGAGTTTACGGATGAATATAGCCCTAAATAGTAAAAATGAGTTTTTGGTCAAAATGGACCAAATGACTAAAATGTGCCAAATGTGTTCAAATTAGCATATTGGACGTGTGAGTAGAGAAAGAAAGCTTGAGATAAACTTATACAATAGTGAAAATCCACGGGTAACCTTTCTGGTGATAGAAGGGTTAAGGTAACCGGATAACTTTCTTTGTTTGACTGTTTATTGTAACTGTATGTTAGTATGATATGTAATGTATGAAATGGTTTTGAATCGAGCATGTTTTATAGCATTGAATGATTGTTATGTGTGAAATGGCTTTTGACTAAAATAAGCATGGAAATGTGTTTTGCAATGAAAAGTATTATATGTTATGTATAAGAAAGTATTAAATGGTAAAAAGGGAACCTTAAATGGTTCAAGAAAGTATGATCTGAGAGGTAGGAGTTCACCTGAGTATAGGAGATGATAAAGACCATATGGCAAGGTTTCCTTAGTATCCTGTTAGGGTGCGATGTTGGAACAATTCTTCTTAGTGCCTTGAAAGGTGCGATATTGGAGAAGATCTCCTTAGTGCCTATTAAAGTACGGTGTTGGAGATGAAAGACTCTTTAGTGTCTTTTTGATACGGATTGTGTAATATCCTTCTCCTTTTATCCCATAATTAAAACCCAAATGCCAAATAGTTAGGAAATGAGACAATAGTAATCATCAAATACAGAATTCTCATTAATAAACAAAATGGGGACCCCAAGTTTACAAAACTAAAATCAATTCAAGTCCTGCAACGAGGCAAATCAAAGTTTGAAAATATGTAGAAGCAAGGGATCATTGTATAAGTAGGTACTTTATTTAAGAATTTAAAACAAGAAAAATTCTGAAAAATTATAAGGCATGCATCGTGGCTTGTTGAATATGCACCACAGCGTGTTCGCCTCTGTGACACGTGCCACGGCTCGTGACGCCATGCGCTGCAGTGTAAATGCATGAATTTTGATAGTGAGTTCTGCTGTCAATTTGACAGCTTTAGGGCCAATTTCCGACATGCCCTAAATCTCCATCTGATGCCCGAGTGATGTGATCTAGGAGTCTACGAAAAGTTCTTTTTGGACTCTAACTAATGGCATTGGTCTTAGGCTTAAATTATTTTTAAAATAGAAATTGAACACCCTTTTCAAAACTTATACTATTATAACTAATTTCACAATCTCGGATGTTCAAAACGTATACCAAGGACCATAAGTCACTAACAACCATATGACCACATACATATCAAACCAACTTGTGCAATGCACCATAACATAAGGAATCTTTTCAGATCAAATTTTCACTACTCAACCCCTTAACTCAAAATCATAGGAAGGGGGAGTTTACTACAATTTTCATCAAGACTTCCTAAATCATCACTTAATAATATTCACTACCCTCACTTGCATTAGTATTTTGGCCCTATCATAATAATACATAATAATCAACTCTCTCCCTAGGGCCCAAAATATCATTACAATTTACATTTCACTTAATGCAAGTAAGTAACAAAAAAGGAAATCCTAGTTGGCAACGAAATTGTCATACACATAAATTACCCAAAATAAAGAGGTCTATTACAAATGGATCGTGATCCTAAGCCTTGGGTTGTTTTCCTCTGTCTCCACTTCTTGAGCTATTCCTTAAAATATTAAAGATAACGGGGTGAGTACAACTACTCAGTAACTAATGTCCGATTAGCCCATACTAATGCATAACAATTAGTTTAAATGTAAGTGGCAATTAATATTAATACTTTTACCCATGAGAAACATTTGAAATTAAGAATTCACAACTTAGCTCACGTAATGGCATCTACTTGGAAAAACAATGCCTTTAGCATCTTTCATATAAATAGAATTGCTCACATAAATCATTGACAAGCCTAATGGAAAAAATTATTACTTAACTCAACATATCCACATTATGGACTCAATATAGACAACAAGTGCCTTCTATCAATATATGCATGATCACGCTTCCTTTATATCCTCCTTATTCCTTTGACATGAAATCATGGTCTATAACTCAATAGGATAGTATATGTTTTTTGACTTCCCTAGCCTAAACACTCGTGAAGGGATTACCCAGCCAAGGTGTACCCATCTCACTTATGGATCACGATTTCCCCTATTTTTCTCACCATGGGGTGTCATTCACCATAGACTAGCTTCCTCATTAAACTGGTAATAACTAGCTAGGTTCGAGCCCTCATTAAACTAGTGGAACAATCCTTCATTGAACAAGTGGGATGATATAAATAGAATCAATCTAGGCAATCCATCACACGGGTGGGGCCTTACCACATGGATTTATCATCTACTCCGCTTCCTAAGTGAACTATCACCTCTCTTGATCATGCAATGGATATTCATGCAATAATTCACACATATACAATTCATAGAACTTCACATTACACAATCATTGGACTTTTCACACATTTCATGGAACTTCAAAACCAAACAAGTTGTTGAACTCCTAATTCACAATCATTTTACCTCACACTTTTAAAATCATTGAACTTTCCTATTTTCATTGTACCCCACACTTTCAAAATCATTGAACTTCCTTACTTTCAAACGTCATTGAACTCCTTCTAAACAAATATTCATTTTGCTTCTCAATTTGTAAAAATCATTGTACTCCCAATGAACATTAATACGAAAATCCACCACTATTGTTATCAAGGGAAAATTTTGCATCATAAGGCATAAAACTCACAAATTTGATCTAGTGGATTTCTTCACAAATTAAGCCACACTTGCATTTCTTTTATTTTATATATTTCAAATGATAATTCATAAATCAATAAACTAATAGTCACACACAAGCACAAGATAGAATTCCCTCAGTTACCTCAAACCTTTGAGAGGTCAAAGGTTTCACCCCCTCAACTATTCACTCCCGAAGCTTCTAAGAAGCTTGAATGGTGCCAATGGTAGTTACACTATAAGCATTTATCATACAAAACATCAATATCCATTTTGAGCTATTTTTCACTAGCATTTTCATCATTTATTAATACTCAAGTTTTACTCTAAGCTCATGTAGAAGCACCCATAAGGTTTCTTAGCTTTCTATAACTCTTATTTAAAATATTGAGCTCTTAAATGGGCATTAATGAAGCCATATTATTCCCAACCACTAAATTTATGGAAATTTCGGATACTTAATGTCTTCCAACTACCAATCATCATAAAATCATAAATATCAAGTTTACTTAGCTCAATCTACCCCTATTAACTCTATTTAAGTCAATGGGTTTAGGCCCTTAACTTTTAGGGACTGAAAATCACCATTAGCAATCAAACCCTAACCTTTACCATTAAAAAAATGGAAGAAGAGAGGAAGATTTAAGCAAGAAAGCTTACCTTAGGTGTTTATGAGCTCTAAATCACTCCCAATAGTCAGTTTCTTCAAGCCCTAGCTTAGCTTTTTAGCTACTTTCTCGTTCTCTTTTGTTTCCTCTTCATTTTTCACTTCAGATTCGTGACTTAATATTGTAAAATTTTGGCCATGCGCCATGGCAGATGCACAATACGCCGTAGTGCATGCCACAGAGAGCTTCTTCCAGGCGTGTTGTCACCCATGCACTGCGGCGGACCAACCCCATGTTGTGGTGCGTGGCACAGAATTACTCCCTTCAGAAATTCTTCCTCTTCTATTCCTGGGTGGCCTGATTCTCCTTCGGACCCGTGTTTAGTAATGAAATCAAGATCAAACATGCTCGTTAGGTCTCTGTGGCCACAAACCTCAAAGATTCACTTTACTAATCTATTTAAGCTTAATTAATCTGGATTTAAAATTGAGGATGTTACAGGTTGAAGTCAACGATGCCCCATTGTGTGTATTGGGGGAAAACCATAGTCCATATTGTGTGTTAGAACATCTTTGGCCTGGTGATTCTACCACTACAAGTGAGCTCAAGACTAATGAAAGTGTACATTGGTCTGAGATGAGCCTATGGTTTGTGTCGAGGTGATTTAGAGGTTTGGTTGGTAGAGATCATAATAGTATTTTATGATATGAAGAAATATCTTGAGATAACATGGAATCCTTTGGGATTGATGAAAAGTTAAAAATAAAATATGATATGTGATGTAAATACTACTTTATGAGGTTTTAATGATATACTATGCTTACTTTCATATTGTTACATGTGATAGTCAATAGGAGTGAGTTATTATGTTACTGAAATTTTTATCTCACCCCATGGTTACATGTTTACAGGACCAGGAAGTGATCAGGCTAAGGGAAGAGAGTCTGGACTGGCTTGAGTTGTGAAGCTGTGTACTCTAAGGTTGTGTAATGAATTGAACTAAAAGATTGTATATATAAGTGTATATGAGTTTCCATAGGGTTTCATGCATGTATTAAACTGAGTTTTTGTGAAATCAAGCCTGATTATGTGTATATGTGTTGTTGAGACAATGGGCTTTGATTTGAATATGTTTGAGTTGAAATGATTGTATGTATTGGTGAATCTTAAGCCAAGGGATAAATTGATGAAATGAGTAATTTGAAGGCTAAGATTGTATTGTGAATATGATTGCATATATATGAGTTGAGAAATAGCCAAGTGGGCTAAGTTATGCTGAGAAATGGCATAGTATGTTAAGTTAGTGAACTGTAGAAATTAGTCGTAGAAGGGTCAAATTTCAATATATAAAAATGATTGTGATTATTTGAGGTCAATTTAGATCCTTTTAGACTTGGTTTAAGCCCTATTGTGGTCTAATGAGAGTAAGGGATCGATTTGAGCGCTTGGGTGAGCAAAATTTTCAAAAAAAGTGACTTTTTGCACCTGGGTGTCCAAATTTTGATTGGACCATTAGATCGTGTCCAAACCTATCTCATTAGTTAGTACATGAGCTAAGCTTCGTGTGGGCACTTAAATCACTCCGATCGGATGTCGTATGAGAAATTGGCGCATGCTGGAAGTTTGCCATTTTTGCTGTCAAAATGACAGCAGAAATTCAGACAGGCACACCGCGGCACATGAAGACACATGTCGCAGCGCACGACACAGATAGGGCGAGCGTGTGGCTCTACGCCATATGCCGCGGCGTACTGACTATCCGCCACAGCACACATACCAAGTTTCAGTTTTAATTATGTGCCGAAATGCATGCAATTGAGATAGGAATGCTGGTGGGTTATATCCACTATGTATTTGAGGAGTGTATGATTTATTTCCGCTGTGTTTTCTCTGGTTGTATTGTGATTTAATTGATTTTATAAAGTAAGTCTTCGGCTAAAGCTTTTGAAATGAAATTTATGCTGAATGATAAGAGGTAGTAGTAACACCGTAGTCTTCTCTTATATGGTGTGGATATATGAGAGGAGGTTACAATAATCATCAACATATAATTTAATTTCAATAAATTATAAATGGTTATAACAACAAAAATATTTATCAGAGTTAGAACATTGACACAATTTCCTATGACCTGGAAACATTAAATATAGAAAAAAGACATGGAGTTTGCTTCCCAAGTGAGCAAGGAAAAATGAAAACAATTTAGGCTTGAAACATAGTAAAGGTGAAAATGAAATGTGCTAACTTATAATTCATACACTCACCTGCTAGGATCGTTAGTAGAGATCTTTTTTAGCCACCCTGAGAATTTACACCAGCTAAAGAGTTCTCATGAGTATCACCTATAAATAATATTTTTACACAATCATTATCAATTTCCAAGAATAATCAAGATTCTTTCTTTTCCTTTCTTTAATGAACTGCATCCCAATTTTCCATCTAAGTTCCTAATACAACTGTTACTATCAGTCAAGAATTTCCTATTTAATGTAATACTGATTAAGCATAGGATTCATCTTATAGAGCTAGAAAATTAAAATTTCAAATACAGGAATTGAAATAAACGTTACAGCCTTTCTATTTGAAATTTAAATTTCAAGATAACTAGAACAATCACACTGGAATGAAAAAATTTATAATGGTTTGATCAAAGAAAAATTCATAAAAACGCAAGGGAAGGCTATATATATATGTGTGTGCATGCAAACACATATATAATGCCCAGGAAAGAAACGGATGATATATATATATCATATATATATATATATATCAAGAAACCAATTCAGCCTATTAAAATTTAACAAAGAACACAAAGAAAGAAAGCGAAGACGTAAATGGATGAATTCTGTACACTTTCTTCCAATTTTTTTTTGTCTGAACTGACTGAGCAAGCATTCAAAGAAGGAAGGAGTCAAAAAAGAAAAAAGAAAAGAAAGGATCAATGTGTCTATTGATTTCCAATCATGTATCGCACAAGCAAATTATGAAAGGAGGAAGAAGACAAAACAAGGGGAGAGAGATAGAGTAGCTACAAGACAAATATTGAAGAAATTAAAGAAAGGAGGAGGAAGGAAGTTATGGACTTGTAGAGCACGGGAGTAGTGAGAGAAATCTGATTAGGCTATGAGGCGGCAAAGGATGAAGGAGATATATTAGGTTTAGGTTTTCATAAAAATATATATTTTGAAAAAAAATTAAATTTAATCATTTTAAATGCTTTTAAAATATTAAATCTTTATCTGATATAGATATGGCTCTATAAGGTAATATCCACATCCTTTAAGATCTTAACTAATTTCTCTCATTATTATTATATTTTTCCACCATAACATTAATTAATTCACTCCTAAATAATATATTTATATATTTTATTAGGGATATCACAAAATACTTCATCTTCAATCATAAACTCTAATTCCCAACGCCTATTATCAATATAAGATTTATGTCAACTCTTATATGTACGAATAACCATCACCTTCATCTTATCGATGACATCCCGCACAAAATTCAGTCCCAAATTTCTCAACTAATATCAAACCGTACAATTGGAAATTTTCATTATTTATCTTACAACTCCAAAAATTTTAAGTACTAGTTGATAACTATTATTACATGCACTTCACAATGAAGCCAGTAGTTATCCTAATTTCTCAAGCTATTGATTTTTATCCTGGTTTAATTGGAATTGATCTTCTGGACGTTGGAAATGTTGGTTTTATTTTTGCACGCATTAAGCAGCCCCGGCTCCTATTTAAGGAAAAACGCAAACCATATATGACTTTTATGGGTTACAATAGTCATATTTAGGAGTGCCAAATCAAAAATTGCCAAAACGGGGTAGTTTCATATTATGGTTTATTTTTAACCATGATATATATATATTTTCTTGTATACCGTCATATAAAGAAGAAAACTATATATAACTTGATATATGTCGGTTCTTAACTGTCATACATATATATAGGCTAAAATGATCGTATATTTCCATTTATGCGGTTTTCATGCATGGTAATGATGTCATCAATATCCATGATATCACAAAAGCAATGGGTAAAATCAGTCAAATGCAATGATTAATAATACAATAAGTTTTAAAAGTAACCCAATATAAGGTTGAAAAACCAGATAATTACATGACAACACTGAAATATATCATAAATAAATAGAAATCATATAGTAACGACGACATTAGAAGTTGAGCGAACTCATCTTCTGAGCAATAAATTTGATAAGAATATCATCAATGGTAGCGGTCCATGAAATGTAGAAAATAATAATCCCGATTGTTATCATCCTTCTCACAAGGTCTGGAAAGTATACCAACCTCAAACGGGCGAGAAGGTTGTTAAAAAAGCTGTTATAGTGTTCATTCAACTTCTTTGAAAGAGTGGTGTAAGAGGCAGAATTCGCAACAATGTTCTTGCAAAGAATATCAATTAGGCCAGCCAAATCTGTCACTTCCCAATTCATGGATAATGACTTTACTCTCAACTAGCACATCAACATCTTGTTCTGTGTGAATGAGATCATCAATTAAAGCAACATAGTTGCAAACGTAATGATGGTTAGGATAGTGAAATTGCTCATATACCATGAGGTTGCGCAGAACGGATTCTGTTGAGCTGTCTACTTTCAATGTTGTGATCTGCAAACGAGCTTTAAACCATTTTGGCCCAAAGCCTAAGCAACTCAACCAATATAGAACTGGTACTTTCTTGAATTTGACATCAAGCAAACTTCTCTTTGAAACTGGTTCAAAAGTTATTCCTGCCATTTTTAATTTTGTTGCAGTCTTTACGAAGGGAGCAGACTTTCCATCACGAACCAAATCGAGTGAACAAAAAAATATCTGACCAAACTAGTGAACTGTTTTGGATTGGTCCATCCTTGCTTTAGCATGCTGTTCTGATTAATTGTGTTAGCTGGCAGCTTGGGATACGGATTGTAAGTTTGAAAGTAGTAGCGAGCGAGCTGGAGAAAACTTGAACAGTTTTGTCTTCTTCGAATGGGCACAAGGCGATATAGTTCCCTGCAAGATTGATAATGGAATTTGGTTTTCAAGTAGTAACAAATCCTGCTCAATGCTCTTATCAATCATGGATTTGGCAAATAAGTAATCATCCCTAATTACTTTTTGTCCATTCCATTTTCGGAGGAAGAGCTCCCTAATGAACACAGCGTCCAGGAGTATCATGCGTACAAACTTCTTTTTTGTGAAATTAGTGTATTTTTCTGAATAATGGCTCCTTATATCTTCTTCATTGTCTCCAAGATTATTTGTGTAGTCCTCTAAACCTTGCACCCCCTCAGCTAATAGTTGTTGGCGAAAATAAAGACATTTATGTTTCTCCATTGTCTTTAGTTTTGCATTGCCATGGTGGATTGGGCCAATGGAGATCACATGAGGAGTGTAAGCATCATTGTTTTCCTTTCTAAATTCTTCTGGCACCTTGTAAATACAACACTTTTCAAACAACATAGAATCATTCATATCGTTGAGGATGTCTACAATATGTATCTAGCAATATCATTGTTATCTTCTGACATTGAATCTTTTTGCAAGACTGATAATTGATCTGCATAAAAAAGCCATTGTTTTGTTGCTAGTTATAAGTACAAATGTATTCAATTAGCTAGTACCCATAACCAACATATCCATGTATAACTTGAAAGCCACTGATACGGTTACGTATATGGGATACGATATAGAATGATATGGTGGAGACAGCAATTTTCAAATTTTAAGATACAGATAGGCAAATATTTATAACATATACTTCAACATTTTATGATATAGGTATAGGTATTTTGATTCTTAAACAAAAATTTTTAAAGTAATATAAGGATATATATGTATGTATGTATGTATAGAAAAAAATTATTAGAAAAAAATCATAGTATAAATGTTAAAATATGCGATATATATGCTATAGTATCCTCTAAGTATTGTATCAAATATGAATATGTTAACTTTTTTGAAATATCCGTGATTCAAAGAATAACACAAAAACATAATTTCAAAGCTACATTGAACATGAGATCATGAAATTTACCATACGGTATATAAGTTATCATGCCTCGAAATATGAGAGTGACTGACACAGAATATGTGTACAAACACACATCTCTTAAGCCTAAATTAAGAGATGTTCCATTTCAAAAATACTTTTCATTTGAATGAAGCCTTAATTTTTTTTTTTGGGAAATTCTAACAAAATCTCCCCTAAGTAAAATAAATAGATTAAAATTTTGCATAAAAAAATAGAGATTAACCAAAATG